AGACCAAGCGTCCATGTTTGTTCTCAGCGCCTCCTCGTCCCCAGGTCAAGGTCCTGGGAGCCAGGCCAGTGGGAAGAGAAAAACGGAAAGGTATGTGCTCCGAGTGCCAGCCTGGCTGTGCCCCATGTGATCTGGGGCTTGTGGTTGGATTTCTGGGAACAAAGGGAAAACGTCCAGGCTTGGCAGGGGCCAGGGAGAGGGGAAGGTGGGGCGGAGGCAGCCTGGGTGCACCAGGAGCAGAGGCCTCGCACTCAGATTATCGACGACGACGCAGAAACAAGAGGCTCAGGCTGGGCACGAGCACACTGACTTCAGGCCAAGTAGGGACCCTGGGGACCTGAGTGTCCCTGAGTGTCCCCAGGGTCCCTATAGGCCTCCAGCTCCACCCAGGCCACCCAGGAATAGGAACCCCATCTGGCCCACACCTCCTGGTTGCTTATTTTCCATAGAATCAGGAAATCCGCTCTTGTATGCTGTTTCCTGATTTTTAAACATTGGTTCAAGTCTTTCTCTTTATTTGTAAAATGGGGGGAAAATAGAACCTACCTCCTAGTACTCTTTGGGAGGATAAATGAGGTTTAGTAAGCCTAGCATGGTGCTGCGCACCTGTAATCCCAGCAGCTCTGGAGGCTGAGGCAGGAGGATCAAAAGTTCAAGGTCAGCCTCAGCAATTTAGCAAGGCCCTAAGCAACTTAGGGAGAGACTGTCTCAAAATAAAAAGTAAAAGGGCTGGGGATGTGGCTCAGTGGTTAAGCACCCCTGGGTTCAATCCCCAGTGCCCCTCCAAAAAGGGGGGCGGTGATTAGCAATGCAAATCATTACTAAAAATAATGGGGGTGGAGAGAGGACCTAGAAAGTATTGTGGATTCTTTTTTTAAAAGGAGACTCATGGTATCCTGTATTGTCGTGGTCAGAGGAAGAGGAGGACTGAAGCTTGCCAAGACCTGGAGGAATGAGACCCAAGATCCAGGGACTTACCTTTGATCAGTGGACTGAGATAAGATTTCTGTCAAACAAGCCTGAGATGCAGTGCGTGGGGCCTCCAGACCTGCAGGTGGCACTGCATCTCTGAGAGGCTCTGGAACTCCCAAGCTGGAGTTTCCCATTCTGTACTCCCATGGTGCTGGTTGGAGCCCGGACTTTGAGGCTTTACATTTGTGCTTGTTGTCGTTTATCTTCTTAATTTGGGGCTGGACATTCCAGTCTGTCAGGTTGCTGTAAAAGGATGCATTAGCTGTCCCTGCTCACTTCCTTCTTTTGTAATTTGGATGAAATTTTCACCAGAATCAGCCAGGTGTCTTTTAGTTGCAAGCAACAGAAATCCCACAGTGGCTTCAGCAAAAGGAAATTTACCGCCCCTGAGCCCAAATGACCGAGGGGTAGAGCTGACTTAAGATGTGCCCTTAGGTGAGTCAGGTGACAATACCAGGACCCAGTTTGCCTTTCTGGGTAGGATCCACTCTTATATCGCCTGTTCCCAGCTGTCGCTCCACATCTGCACAACTCCCAAGCCAGCAAGACTTCCTGAGATCTGAAAGGAAAAGTCTTCTTATAGAGTTTCACTGGCCATGGATGACCTTCATGGATGACCTTGACTTGGGTCATGCTCCCCCCCCCCACAAACAAACCACTTTCCCAAGAAGAATACCACTTGCTGGTTGCTAGTTCTGGGATCCAACCCTGAAATGGTGGTGAAGAATGAAATCAACACCCCAAGATCAAAATATACATTAGAAGTGTAATCCCAGGGGCTCAGGAGGCTGAGGCAGGAGGATCGCAAGTTCAAAGCCAGCCTCAGCAATGGAGAGGAGCTAAGCAACTCAGTGAGACCCTGTCTCTAAATAAAAATACAAAATAGGGCTGGGGGTGGAACTCAGTGGTCGAGTGCCCCTGAGTTCAATCCATGGTATCACCCCCCAACCAGAAAAAAAAAAAAAAAAAAAAAAAAATATATATATATATATATATATATATATATATATATATATTGAGCCCAGAGGTAAATCATATGCCAGTACCTGAAGTGGAATGAATATATGCTTCATGCCTCCCCAAATCATATTCATCTTCTATGCAGAATATTTAAGTTGCAGCTATAAAGGTTTATGGCTTCAACACCCAACACCGCATTGACCAGCAGGGCCAACCTGGCTGATCTTGGATTCCCTTTCATATCTCTATCAATATCCTAGAATTGCACTAATTAAAGAAAGCATGAGGGCTGTTCTTCTACAATAGTATTTAAATAAATAATTATTTTAATAATTATTATTAAATAATTACACTGAGCCACACCCCCAGCCCTATTTTGTATTTTATTTAGAGACAGGGTCTCACTGAGTTGCCTAGTGCCTTGCTTTTGCTGAGGTTGGATTTGAACAGTATTTTTGGGGGGGAGGGGGCACTTAAATTTTCCTACCCCCAGAACTAGTCATGAACCCATCCACACATGAATTCACCTGATTTTGCCATAATCCAGCCCATATATCTTCATCTAGGGGAAAAAAAGTGTGTTTTAAAAGAAAATTTGGCCAAATGGTTCATAATTCAAACACCTGGCTTAAGTCCATGTGGAGACTCTGAGGCCTTCAGATTAGGGTCCCTATCAAAAAAGGAGAAAAGCAGGTCTGCTCTTCAGTGAGCCAGGCTGTCGACCAGAACACAACCCTTTTTGTTCACAGTTGCTTAAAATCAACCCGTTAAAATTTTTCAGCCTAACGTCAGCTAGTCTGGAGTTCCCGGACACCCCAAAATTCTAACCACCCTCCACTTCGGAAATCATGCTGCAAGAAAAGGTGACACGGTCCCACAGGGAACTCATTCTGACGATGTCCATCAACAGAACCAGTCAAGAAAACAGTGTGACCCAGAAGGAAGATTCCCCGAAATAACAAATATTGAGTTGAACCGTATGAAATGTCCATTTTCATAGGCAAATCATAGTCAAATACCCGCGATTTCATAGGTTCACATCTGTATAGGTTAAGGCAGCATTAGTGACCCACAGATTCCTGGGAGGTCCCAAAGACCTCTTCAAGAGGAACATGAGGTCCAAATTATTTTCATTATAATACCAAGATAATTATTGACCTTTTTCATGAAAAGAATATTTGCACTGAAAGTGTAAGAGCCATGGTGGGTGTGCCAGTCTGTTTTCTGTGGCTATGACACAGTGGCACAGACTGGGTAACTTATCAAGAAAAGAGGTTGATTTGGGCTCACAGTTCTGGGCCAAGGCAGAGAAGCTGTATCTGCCTTCTTGCTGGCAGATTCAGAAGGTGATACAGGCCATCACATAGTGTGTGTGTGTGTGTGTGTGTGTGTGTTCTTCTTTTACTTCTTAAAAGCCACCAGGATTCAATCATGGGACTCCACCCTGATGACTTTATCTAGCTCTGATCACCTCCCAGAGGCCCTCCTTCTCAACACCACAGTCAAATTAAGAGGGTGGGACGCATCCTCTTAATCCCACACAGTAGGAGTTCCACGTCAATCTGAGTTTCAGACAAACCATATTCAGACCACAGTGAACTCTAACTAAGCAACATGTTGCAACGGACCAAACTCATGAATTCAGACTACCATCCAGCTGGAAATTAAAGAGATTTGAAAAAAAAAATACTAAACATGCCCTTCTTTATGCTATTTTGTTATTTTTATTTCTGGAAAACATTTTTTTGTAGCAGTATTTTACTTATGTCAACATGTAATGGGTTTATTATTGTCATAGTGTGATGAATCTGGAAATAGCTTGGAAATCAGCATCAGTTTCTTATAAGAAAAGTATCAACAGAGACCACCTGCAGAAACAAAAACTCCCCGGGGTCTTCAAAGGACTAAGGGATTCCTAAGACTAAAACTCTAGAGAACTCCTGCATTAGGACCATCCATGGAGATCCACCCAGGGAATGAAGGGTGGAGCCCTCCAAAAGGAGGGACTGGAATGACCCTGCTTGGAATCTTGACTTGATGGGGAGAAAGCAGGATGAAGGGAAGGAAGCCAAGATTAGAGGAATTGGCCTGTCTTCATCCATTTCCTGTTTCTAATAGCACAGTAGCACAGCCAGGGTAAACTAAAGAAAATAAGTTTAGTTTGACTCCCACTTCCAGCCCAAGGTCAAGGGGGTGCATCTGCAGATGGCCTTCTGGCTGGCAGAGTCCCAAAGTAGTACTGGGCATTATGTGGGGAGAGACAGGGCGCTGGGGAGCTCCCCAGAGATCCAGCTAAACTGGCTTTCAGAACAGACCCACTGGACATGACCCGCTGAGCCGCCGATGGCATAAGTGGATTAACCCATTCGTAAAGCAGAGCTGTTAATCACCCTGTCCCGCCTCTTAACATCTTGAGAAGATTAAATTTCAGCTGGGTTTCAGAAGGGACAAACCACATTCCACCATAGCACGGAGCCCTCTGGCTATTGGCTGAGGACAGCCCTCAGGTGTAGTGGGCTTGGGGGGGGCGGGGTAATAGAGGCTCAAACCTCCCATTGGGCTGTTGACTTTCTAATGCAGAAGTCCAGCCCCTAGGACATGACCTTCATCTGAGAGCGACCTTGGTATTGCCTGGAGGGAGGGAAGGAGGTCACTGGGAGAGCCAAGGTGAGCAAATTCGGAGGTCCCAGTGGGGTGCAGGAACATTCTAGAGAGATCAACTGCACGGGCCTCCCTACATCCCCATCGTGTCCAGGGGACCCTCTGTACCTGCAGGGATGCCATGTGATGGGAGTTCGGTTGTACAGGGACAGGTGCATGCGAGGGCAAAACGGAGAGTTCATATGTGGGGCATGGGGTGTGTAGGGGAGGGTTCTGCGGGGCGCACAGAGAAGGCTCTATGTGGACATACCTGGGACATTGCTAGAATGGGGAGTGTGTGCGCGATGGGGTGTCGGGGGCGCTTGGACGTGGCATGTGGGGACAATTCAAGGTGCCAGACTGGAGCTTGCTGAGGGGTGAGGGAGGTGGCCAGAGGAGCCAGGATCCTGCAGGTGGCCGGACTGGTGGCAACAGGCAGGCTCCGCCCGCGGACGCTCCCGGGGCTTCCCCGCCTCCTCCGCCTACCTCCGTCTGGCCGCGCTCTGTCGCGGTGTCCCAGCGCCACCGCCACCGACACTCGGCCGCCCGCCGCCCGCCGCAGTTGCTGCCAACAGCGTGCATCCGAGTCGCCGCCGGAACCAGGTACGACAACGACCCCGGGGGGGCGCACCTGGGCCCGTGCCTGCTGCCCCGCGCCCCTCCGCGCCGCGCCTTCCAACGCCCGAACTCGGCCGCGAGCCCCGCTGTCCAGCCTCAGTTTCCCACGGGGGGGCGCCTGAGTGCCTGTCTGCGGCGCCGCGCTCAGCCACCGCGGGGACCCGTCCCGGGGCTGAACCGGCTGATGGCAGGTGGCGGAGAGGACGGAGGGGGAGGTCGCCCCTAGCGTGCCCCCTGAGCAGAGGGGAATGATCCCAGGAAGTGCATAAAGACCAAGAAGGGGGACCTATGGCAAGTGACGGGGGAGGGGGCGGCCAGGCTGGCTCGGGCCAGGGTCGCCCGAGCGTCTGGGACGGCGGCAGGGAGGGTGGCAGGGTCCCTTACCAAATGGGCGTGGTGAACTGTCGTGGGAGATGACAACAGTGAAACCCGAGAGCGCGCAGTTCGTGCCAGGCGCCGCGAGGCAGAGCGCCCGCAGCATCCCTGCGAGGTGTCCCCAGGTTACAGAGGGGGGACTGGGGAGGGTCGGAGAGGGGAGAAGCGTCCGCCATCCGGGACGAGTTGCTGAGCGCGGATTGGAACCCAGACAGTCAGATACCTTCCTCGTGGCACCTTGTCAGCCCAGCTCTGGGGGGACTTGGATTAATTCTCTGAAGGTCCACTCTGGGGAGGTGCTGGGGTCTGGACCCGGTGCAATCTATACTCTCGAGGACTCCGAGGGCTGCGTTTATGTCTGGATAATGTCATATGGCTTAGATGCGCTGTCACAAAGTGGGTGGTGGCAACGTGCCCTGCGCGCCGCATGGAGCGCAGAGCGCCCAGGGAGAAACAGGCGCACGGTTTAGGGAGCCAGCGCCGGGGCTTTTTGCACCCACAAGAAACGACAGCTCGCCACCTCCCCCAGGGTATCTGTCCCGGTCAGTGGCTCCCAGAGAGTCCCCAGAGGACCTGTCTGAGCAACCCTGTAGCCCTGTGAACCTCGGAGGGCCCAACTACCTACCTACCCAAGTGCTATGCTGAACTGCGATTCCTTCCTGTTCCCCTACAACCTCCCATCCCCTGCCCTCCCCGCTGCCCAAAGGGACCTACCGTCTTCATAATGTGGGGCATTCCTTCTAGACGTTTCCCAACACCTGTACAGTCCATATGTTTGCCTGGGGGGATATGTGAAATCCTTTGATCGTGGTGAGCGTGGTGGGCAGGTGGGCAACAGAAATGTCATAACCCATCTGGTCATTCTGCAACTGACCCCTCACCAGCTATCTATACAGAGCCATCCACACTGCTGCGTTTAAACCAGCTGGTTGATTTAAACTGCTGCCTGGGTAGGCCACTGAGGGACGTCTGGGTCCCCAAATTTGGGAGGGGCTTTTATTTTAGACTCTTCTATGAATTGCCGTCGGAGATTAAGTTCAATTTCCTGTCGCTTGTCCTAAACTGATTGTACGGGATCTGAGTTTGGGAGGTGCTGCTGCTTCTTTTCCATCGCACACACACAGGCTCGTGTACGCATGCACACGCACACACCCATGTGTAACATGCACACCGATGAGCGCACACACACACACACACACACACGCACGCACACATCTCTATTCTGTCTGCCTGTGGCCGGGGACAGACACTCAGGCCCCTCTGGCTGCAATCTGTGGCTGCAGTCCCCGCAGAGCCCAAAGTCTGGGACCGACTCAGGCCTCAAACTCTGCTAGTCCAAGCCCAATGGGCAGAGTCCACCCATTGTCACATCCGGGGGCTCTTTTTAGCTGCCCACAAGCCCATCCCTGCCCTGTGAGAGAAGACAGAGGCCAAAGCAGGGGTCCAGCCACCTCTGATGTCCCCCACCCCACCCCACCTGTGGAGGACCATAGCAGAGGCCGGGAGGGCCAGTCTTAGGAGGCTTAGATCCTGGCCCGGGAGCCCCACCCTGGTCACTGCCCAAGTCCAGAGAGGACGGGGGGGGGGGGGCTGGCCGTGGAGGAGCCACCTGCCCGGGAACACCTTTACTGCAGAATTCAGGGCAAGCAGAGTCCCTGGAACATGTCAAGGAGAAGCCATGTTCCTGCGGTCAGCAGGCTGATGGGTGGCCACGCACCCGCCTTTGGAACAGGAGCCTGGCTGAGCCTCACGGGGCCCTGTGGCCTGCTGGTACTGGGGGTCAGTGGGTGGCTCACTGTGCTGTGAGCTGACGGCAGAACTGGAGGTCTCTGCGGGGTGAGGCGTGCGCAGGGCCCCATCTGGCCTGGTGGGAGGAGGGGAGACACCCAGTCTGCAATGCTGAGCACCTTCTGTTTGCAATTCACGAATTCATTCAGCAGATGTCCAGGGAGTGTCTGGGGGGGGGCACCCCTCTGTTTCCCAGGAATTTCAGCAAAATGGTCAGGGGTTATGTGTCTTGATCACTGCGGTCGCCCCAAGTCCCAGGAGACGCTCCAAGAACACTTGCTGAATGGATGATGGACAGGTGGGTGCCGGGGCTCAGACTAGACCCAGGCCACGCCCCCCTGCTCCCAGCACCCTCAGGCTCCACCCAGGGGTCCCTGGGTGCCCCAGTAACAAAAACAGGCAGGATCTTTTTATTATCATTTGATGCTGGGGATTGAACTCAGGGCCTCAGGTGTTTTTTACGTATATGCTGCATGCCAGGTGCCCATGCTATTTCATCAAACTCCTTCAGGTAGGTGTAATTATTTATTATCCCCATTTTACACCCAGGGAAACTGAGCTCTCCCTCGGCACGATTTCAGTGTATTCCCCGCGACAGTCCAGAGAAACAGGTAGTGTCATCAGCTACATTTTGCAGATAACGAATGGGGCTCAGAGAGGTTAAGTAACTTGCCCAAGGTCACACAGAGCTGGCCAATGGTGAGGCTGGGATCCAAAGCCAGGCGGTTTGACTGCAGAGCCCACTTTTTTTCCCCTCCCAACCTGTCCCTCCTCCGCTTCCTGGTGTCATCTGAGAAGTGAGTGTGGAGGAGGGGTGGAAATTCTTTCTCTGGGACATGGCTTTCTGGGACAAGCCTCTGGTTCACCTGTGGCCAAGGGTAAGGTTTCAGCTTTTCAATCCCCTGGGTGGGACCCGGGGTCAACTGTGTGGGTGAAGATCTAGTCTCCCCCAACCAAGAGGGCCACCAGGCCCCGTGTGCGAGTGGCTGCCATCTCACCGCCTCCCCTGGGGACGTCAGAGTCTCAGCCTCTGCTTCCTGGAGGACTGGCCTCCTCCGCCTGATGGCCCTGGGGTTCTGCAGAGCGCAGGGAGGCTGGGCCTCAGCTCCAGGGCCAGCCTGACCCTGGCACGAGCCGGGCAGTGCGTGCCCAGGGCCCAGGACTTGCAAAAGCAAAACTGGACTCAGAGTCTGACGGGAAACGGTGATTCGGCAGGAAACAGAGAGGTCGCCTCCCTCTTGGTGACTCCGATGGGTGCGAGGGACCCGCTCTGCCCTAGGGCACAGGAACCCGGCTGACCTGACCCTCCTGGGGAGTGCTGGCCCTGGAGCAGGCGGAGGGAGGGGTGGTTGGTCGGATTGCCTGTGTCACCTGCACGTGAGAACACTGGGCACGTTGTCCTCCTCACCGTCACCCCCATCACCCACATCTCTGCCACCCCCATCGTCACCACCCGCTCACCCATCGTCATGGCCAGTGGCAACATGATGATCACTCACCTGGCTTCTCAGACCCAAGGCCCAACCCTCAGATGGGGACGTAGGACAGAGGACACGACTCTAGGAAGATAGTGAGGAATCTGGGCCCCAAGGTCTGAAAGATCGCAGATCTGCCTCCCCACTCGGCCGCTTTCTAGCTGTGTGACTTTGGGTAATTGGCCCAACCTCTCTGAACCTCAGAGACCCAGTCTGTAAAATGGGGTGATCACAGATCCTGCCTGCTAGGGTGGTGGGAAGGGACCCAGGAGCCAACACAGGGAAAGCCTGGCCCAGCGCCTGGCTCCAATCGTAAAAGCAAAACAAACACAGGCAAACACACTGGCCGGGGGCAGCGGTTACGGAAATGGCTCGGGGCGACCGGCTGGGAGTTCCCGGCAGCCTGGGTTTGGAGGAGCAGGTGCAGGTGTCGCCAGCGTGAGAACGGCCCCCGGGGCCAGTTTGCGGGCAGCTGGAGAGACCACTCGAGGGCCCGGGCGTGGAGCGCGGAGTGGGGAGCTGTCTCCTGGATCAGGACTGAGAGTCCAGACCTGGCCCTGCAGCCTGACTGGTCCGAGAGCCACAGGGAGCTGGATGGGGCTTCCCCAGGAAGCTCCAGCTACTTCCCGCTCCTGACCCAAAAGGCTCCCCAAAGCCGTAAGCTCAGATCCCACGGTGCATGGCGGCCTTTCCCACGGGGAGACTGCCTTTTGGATGACTTCTTCCTTTTTGATGTCAGAGGGTCCTGGGTGTCTTCCCTCCAGCCTCAAGGGTAGCCATGAACAGCTGAGCTGGTTGTGTGCTGCACAACTCCAGGAACGTTGGTCACACAGACTACGTGATCCATGACACCCCTAGAGAGGTGCAGTGCGCATCCTACGCAGCCATACCGGGCGGCTCTGCCAGACTCCTTCTTCCTTGGAGAGAGTGCAGAACAACTTTAGGTGGCCCAGCTCTAGCTGCAGCTCAAAGTAGAGCAAGGATAAATGACATCTAAATGCCAATCAAGAACCAGAAGAGCCCAGGATGGCTGCCCAAGCAAACCAAGCCGATTGGTTGCTGTCCTTGAGAAGGCTGAGTCTGGGTGTTGCAGTGACTGGAGATGGTGGTGGATTAGTGACTGTTCTCAACACAGATTTTATGGGGTGGCCATACGGCAAAGTAATTAGGAGAGCAGGCCCTGGAGTCAGGCAGACTTGGGTTCCATTCTGCCCTGACACTGTCACTGTGTGGCCTGGGGCAAATTACTTGACCTCTCTGTGCCTCATTTTTATCTAAAAAGAAATGGGTATGTAATAATACACACAGAGGTATACCAGCCCTCCCTGTCTTCCATAATAAACGGTC